TAATTATTTTAATATGCAACTTTTTAAAAATTAATTATTTTAATCGATGAGAATATTCTACATCTGATTAAACCTCTCCCCATCATATAGTCTGCACTAATAAATGATCCAACTTAAAATTCTGAACTAAACAACGCAGATAGATGATTCAGGAGTGGGACGGCAGATTTGTGGGAAAGTGGGGCTCTTGGGAAGAGATACAGATTAATTACCCTCCAACAAAGTATAATTATGGAGGCAAAATAATGAAACAACATAATTACCTAGGTGATAAAGCCAGGAAAAACTGATGTAGTGAGAGTGATAAATGTAGGCATGAATTATTCAAAATGCATAATGTCTTCATAACTTACAATTATAAATACTGAAATGTATCCACTCTCTTCTTAGAAACAGCCAAAATGGAAAAATAGTTATTGTCTTAAAAATATTTTTTAAAAAACTAAAGATATAAAGAAAACAACAAACCTTAGTGCATGTCTTTGCACTTAAAGTATATTTATCTTTGTGCCCCATTGAAAAATAAAAGTATAACAGAAATAAATTCTTTATCAAGATATTCCATTTAAATACCTGTCAACCAGCTTCAAAGATCCACAAATGTTTCCAGTGTTGGCACTTCTGTTCTGAGGCTACATGATATTTATTTTCCTTGTTGTAAGCTTTAACACAGCATAGGGGGTTGGGGGATGCTAACTAACTAGCTAACTAGCTTCAGAACAAAAAATTCAGTGCAAAGCTAATCCGTCATTTTGCTAAGCTCTAGAGAGATTCTACTATAAATTAATGATTATACAGCAATGGTCCCTCTCCTTCTTTAAATTGTCTTTGACTTATATCTGATACAATGTTTATACTTGTTCTTTTTGAAATCATTTTCAAAGTTATAATGTTATAAGTGAATTCTGAGAATTTGCAAGGAAAATTCATATCTAACTGGGCTCAACAGATTTTTTAATATTGGAAATATATTTCCCAGACAAATACAGATCTAGTGAGGGTGTTGATCTTAAGAATAATTGCTACAAGAAAAAGACTATTTAAACATGTCTCTTCCAGGGAGTTGTCATTTAAGAAAGGAGATACTGTCTACATCCTCAGGAAAATTGATCAAAATTGGTACGAGGGAGAGCACCACGGAAGAGTGGGCATTTTTCCAATCTCGTATGTAGAGGTGAGTCCTTCCCCCTTCCCTCTTGCGTGGAGGCTGTTTCAAAAGTCTCCACAGGTCCAAGAGTAAGTATCTGTTTTCCTTCATAGAAACTCACACCACCTGAAAAAGCACAGCCTGCAAGACCGCCTCCCCCAGTCCAGCCTGGAGAAATCGGAGAAGCTATAGCCAAATATAACTTCAATGCAGACACAAACGTGGAGCTGTCGCTGAGAAAGGTAACCTGGCTGTTTTCTTTATCGGCGCATTTGAAAAGACTGTATATTTTCTAAACTGAAATAGGTTATCTTCTTCCTTAGACATTTTTGTGTTTTCCGCATTTTCTACAAAACACTCCTTAAGGCCACCCAGAGTCACCGTTCCCTGCTGCACCTATGTCCTTTCGGATGAGGCTCCGTGGGCAGTGCCAAGCTTCTCTGAGACACCCCTTCCGTGGCCCAGCCCCTGGAAACAGAGCCCCAGGACCCCTCCACCAGTGCCTCAGGCTGAATACTGAGGAGTCATACACGTGGGAACATGGAAATGAAAACGTGCTTTGATGCACTTCAAAATAATGTTGTTCTGCCCCCTTATTCTTCACTCTTTTAACAATGAGATGCTCCAATACTTAGTTTCTCTATCTTGGAATCAAGGAATGGTCGAGTACCAATGAAGCTCCTCCCTACCTGGGGGCCTTTCCCTGACCATCCTTTCTGGGACCTCCAGACTGACCCCAGATTTCTCTAGCAACCTATCCAATTCTAGCATCTCTTCTTAACAATATCAAAAATGACTCTTGTAACTTGCTGCTTTGCATAGCTGAGAATGATAAATGAACTATTTTTATTGCTTGCTAAACAGTGACATATTTGTTTGAGGGAGCTGCTTGTCTGCACCTGACACTGACTAGCTAGTAATATTTAGGGTGGTTCTGGGACCTCCCCTGCCTACCGGTGAAATCCTTCCCCAGGTGCAATGAAAGGAAATTCCACAGTTCTGGTCCTGGAATGACCTCACCGCATTCTCTCCTTTCAGTCCCAATTCTGCACCATCTGAGTTCCTTCCCCTCTCCAGACTGCGCCACTTGGCATGGAGAACCACACAGAGCACTGCCTGAACTCTGTCATCTTCTATTTTGTGCTTTAAAGAAGGGCTTCTCCAGTGCATTTCATAGCTCAAGCCACAGCCTGTTCTTGGTGAATTAGAAAATCAGTGCAATTTTATAATTTGGGAAGATTCACTTTTCTTTAGTATGTTCTGCTCAGAGGTAGTGAAACACGCTGAATAAACCATCTAGCCCATCTAGTGTTTTTTCATAAAAGAGAAGTTTCACCTTTGGTAGCACCTGCAGAAAGGCTCCCTATTGGACTGAAGTGATTGCCTGTGTGGTGCCTCCATCACACTACCAAGTGTGGTTGCCCAAATTTCTGTACCACCTGCTAAGTGCAGCTGCAGCTTCTGCTGTTTAGTGATAACTCGCCTACTTATTTCTGGGCTATGTGTCATTTTGAGTTAAAATTTAAACTGGATTCTGTGGCTCGGTCACTGTAGGTAGCAGGAATAGTGACTGTAGAAAGTTCTATTATGACAAAAGCCAAGAATTCTATTTGAATATTTAGTGAGAGGTATGGCACAGCCCCACCTAATCAAAATGGATGCTGGTGTTACCCTGTCCCGATGCACATCAGGTGGATGTCAGTCTGGGCCACAGCTATGGATATTCTAGGATGCTGTCTTCGTGCCCATCCCTTTAGTTCACTCTTTGTCACGACTTAGCACGATTTAATCTACTAATCTTCTTTAGTAGATTAAAGAAGAAAGACAGTGTGCCATTCAACATAATCCCTTCCAGAGGTTGATTCTGCAGCCCATTTCAGACGCATCCTCACAGTGAGCCTTGGTGCACTTTCAGTAGCTCTTCCCACGGAGGGCCAAAGCATTGAGTCTGTTGAAGATAGGGTGATACCGCTGTCATTGAGATGTTACCTGTTATACTAAGCTGCTTTTTGAAATAACTTACACAAATCATTTCACAGAGAACCAGTATGAACATGTATAAGCCCATTCACATTAACCAATCATCCTTGGGAAGATTCTGATGTTACGAATGGATAATTTAATTGCACATATGTTATACTCTATATTTTTCTAGTAAACACTAGGACCTTACTTGCATTCCCCTGATTAAACAAAACCTGGAGATATAAAATATTCCCAGATGGAAAACTATTATTTATTAGAAAACATTGACAGTTATATTGTTTCGTGTTATTGTGTCTCTATGTATAATGCCTTTTCCTAATATTCATTACAGGGAGATAGAGTTATTCTTCTTAAAAGAGTTGATCAAAACTGGTATGAAGGTAAAATCCCAGGAACCAACAGACAAGGCATCTTCCCAGTTTCCTATGTAGAGGTCGTCAAGAAGAACCCAAAAGGTGCTGAGGACTACCCTGACCCTCCCATACCACACAGCTATTCTAGCGACAGAATTCACAGCCTAAGTTCGAACAAGGTAAGAAGATATTCTATCACGTTAATGTAATATGGGGAGCTGAGTGTAAGATAATCAGTATGTGATTTTAGATATTAGAGAGATTAGATTA